AAAAAGAGGTTGGCAATAATTTGTTGACATCAATCAAAAAAGCCAAAAAAAATTGATTCAACAGTCTTACCATTAAACATAGAAACAAGGTCAGCATTATTTGTCGACCTCAAACACTTTATAAATATATATATATATATATATAAGATTCTGTTTTCAATGTAGTTATTTTCTCCTTAATTCTGCTTATTTTTTTCTTTCGAAAAATTGTTTTTCGTGACTAAATCTCTTTAAATAATAGAAAAATGTCTCCTTTAAATCCTTACTTTTAGCGTCAGTTTAATAATGTAAACCCTGATTTTGTTTTTGCTAAAAATATTAAATATATGTCAATAAATAAAATAAAAATGAGTTTTGTTAAAATTTAGAATTAGTAGAATTAGTTAAAATTTAGAATTGTTAGTTATTATTAGTTAATTATATATTATTAGTTAAAATTAGTAGAAAAATTAAAAAAAAATAAATAAAAAATGCTAATGCTAAAAAAATAACACTTGTAAGAATATTTTTTACTTTACCATAAATTTTATTTACTTGTTAATTAAGATTTTATTTTTAGGAGCGTCAACTACATCAAGTGTCAGTTAATATATATGTTTTGGTCAAATACATGTTTGTATTTGGTAATATTATGTTACATTTTTGTTTTGTATTTCAAAAACTCATATTGCATTTATTTAAATATGCATTTAGGAATCAGGAATTGATGTTTTTGTATTGTATTTATGTTTTTGTATTTAATTTTGTTTTAAATTAAAGAAATTTTATTTGATTAAATGTATTTAACCCTAAAGTTCATTTTTATTTTTGCCTTCGGTTTTGAAAAAATAAAACAATGGTTTTGGCTATAGTTCATTTTATGTAATGGTTAATGTAATATAGTTTAGTTTATGTAATATGCCTAATGAATTTTTATTAATAACAACTTCTTTAGTTCATTTAGCTCCTCCAAAATTTGAAAGTCTGTGATTGAAAATTTTGCTTTTCCCAAAACACAAAGTTAAAGAAAATATATGAAGTCAATGATAAATCTTAAAGTTTTACAAAGATTAATGTAAGTAATATTTTTTCTTGTAATAACTATCTTGGAAGTTATTTTAACTATCTTGGCCTTTTATGTTTATAAATTAGTTTTTTTAATACTCTGCAATACTCAAAATAGGTACCTAGTCAATTTAGCAAGAAAAAAAGAACATTTTAGACTTTCCTTTCGAAAGATGTAGTTAGTAAAATTTTAAGTTAGTTATATTACATATATATATATATATATATATATATATATATATATATATATATATATATATATATATATATATATATATATATATTACATATATATATATATATATATATATATATATATATATATATATATATATATATATATATATATATATATATATCTTCTTCATAACTTCAGGGGTTCCTCAAGGTTCAATCCTTGGCCCTATATTCTTTTTAATTTACATTAACGATCTTCCAGATATTATCACATCTAAGGTGGCATTGTTTGCTGACAACACTACCATTTATTCTTGTCATGATAAGAAGCCTACACTCTCTGATTGCTTGTAGTAGAGGTGAGATCCTTATTTGAGCTTGATAAGGATCTCACCTCTACTACAGCATGGGGCTCACAATGGCTGGTGAACTTTATTTCAGATAAAACTCAATTTTTTTCGGCCAATCTTTATCACAATAATTTAGATCTTCCTATATTTATGAATGGTAATGTACTAGATGAGTCATCTACCCTTCATCTTCTAGGATTAACTTTTACTTCTGATCTCTGTTTTAAACCGTATATCAAATCCATTGCAAAATTAGCATCTGCTAATATTGCATCTCTTTATCGAGCGCGACACCTCCTTACTCCAGATTCTATTCTCTATCTATAAATCTCAAATCTGTCCCTGTATGGAATACTGTTGCCATATCTGGGGTGTATCTTTTAATGATGCTCTTTCTCTTTTAGACAAGGTGCAAAAACGCATTGTAAACATAGTTGGACCTGCTCTTGCAGCCAATCTCTTTCTCTTTTCTACAAATACTATAATGGGCACTGCTCTAAAGCTAGTTTTTTTCTTAGAACATCAATTGCTTGCTTCACCTTGCTTCCCTGATTTATATAATTTGCAATCTTTTAAGTCATCTGTCAATCGTTATCTTGCTCTACGAACTTAATCTTTTCTCTTCCAATAACTTCGAAGCACTTATAGTGGTTGTTCGCAGCCTTGTTGGAGACGAAGATGTAATATATATATATATATATATATATATATATATATATATATATATATATATATATATATATATATATATGTATATATATATGTATATATATATGTATATATATATATATATATATATATATATATATATATATATATATATATATATATATATATATATTTATATATATATATATATATATATAAATTATAAGAGCATATTATTTCTTAATTAACTAATATATAGTCTTTCATTCATTTACTTCTCTTAAGAATAATGAAATATAAAAAACGTTTAAAGTTGAGAATAGTTTTGATCTTTACTAGTGTGATTCTATCGCCAAGTTTCTTTAATGTGATCAATCATTTCTCGATACAAATATTGCAAAAAGTGGTGTATTTTTTATTATGGTTAAATGTTTAGTTTTCTTTATAAGGGTAAATTACTATCATAAATTACATTAAAAATTTTGATCTGTAATTATATACATAATGCTTACTTTACAAATAAACATAATTTACACAAAATTTTTGAATTGATTAAAACACTAATGAATTGCTCCTATGCCCAATAATAATAACTTGTGCCCAGTAATAACTTACACTAAAAATGCCCAGTAATAACTTACACTAAATTGTCCCATATCAATTACACTAGTGTTATCTTTTGAATTTAGAAATAGAAGTTGTTAAATGTTGGTGGCTCATCATGCAGTGCATTTGAGAAGGGCATGCTTTCAAAGTAAGTATAATTTTACTATAAAAAGAGTATTTTTAATACCGCAATTATGTTGCATACTTGATATACATAAATATATACGCTAGTGTGTGTGTGTGTGTGTGTTATTTATTTATTTCCCCTTTTATTTTTACATACTTACCTTGACAATATTTTTTTAAGGTTAAGACTGCTTCCCTGATTCCTACAGCAAAAAAAAACTTTAAAATGCTGGTGTCAATATTTTAAAGAGTGCATCTGATCGAAAAGAAGGTGAATTACGTCAACTGTTCGAAAATTCGATTCTTGGAAATTAACAAGTGGAAGAAGAAGTTTACAAAGTTGTAATTTATAAAACTCAGCACAATTATATTATTAAAAAATTTAAAAGATTTATTATTTTTTTCTTATTCTCAAGTAGTTCTGTGAAAACATAAATTTGAAACTTACGTTTAAGTAAAGCCATGTAAAAACACGTATTTTAGACGTCGAAATGAGAACGTCTAAATTAGGTTATTTAAAGACGTCATTTGGCGTTTCCATTTAGCACTAGTTCTGAACGTCCTAAATTTACGTCTTTTAGACGTCTAAAAACACGTCTTTATTCCGTCCTAAAAAGACGTCCTAATAACGTTTTAAAAAGACGTCATCTGGCGTTGCCATTTAGAACCAGTTCCGGACGTCCTTTCGACGTCATATGGACGTTGCCGTGCCCGCTGGGTTAAAGACCAAAGATGATGGAAGCTAAAAAGGTCAGTTGCGCCACTGATTAGCACCTATCTATTTATCTTTGCGGGTGAATTGATGTGTAACATAACTCTTTCATCCCCAGTAAAAATGATAATGTAAATAAGTGTTACTTAAAACCTTTCTATGCTTAAAAAGTACAACTTGTATTTTTGTCTTTATCCACGTGTGTCTCAATTATTTGTCTGATAGCAACCCGTATTTACTGTTCAAACACCATGGCAAGTTTAAGCACTAAATAGAAATAGTGCTGAAAAAAAGCAAAGCAACATTAACATAATAACTAACAATAAATTGTATTTCAACCTATAATTCTTACCTTATCTGAGTTGAATACAATTTGTTTTTCATAAACTGTCAACCAATGGTCAACAAAGTAAATTCCATTCATGAAAATTTACTAAATTAAAACCAAATTTCAACAGTATGCACACTAACATAAAATAATGTTGAGATATTAAGTTGGTAAGTTGTTCAACAGAAATTACAAAACTTACAAAATTAGAGCAAAGTGGCTTTTTTATTGTCCCAAAATTTATCAACTACAAAGTAAGCGATAAATATATTTGAAACCTTTTTATGTTTAATTAAGTATACTAAACTTAAATTTTTGTTACGTAACTTAAAATTAAAAATTAAATTTTCTATATAATTCTAAATCAAAAGATTTAAACTTTAGTTTATCAAATTATAAAAAGGCTAGACAACTTAATGTAATAAATAACGTAATAACATAAATCACCACAAATTAATATGATATTTTAATAACTAAAATACTTGAGCTAAAAAGATTTTATTTATTACACTATTGAACAATTATGGTTAAACAATTTGAAAAATTGTATCATAAAATAGCAAGCAGCTCATAAAATATTTTTTATACATGGTCATTATCAACTAATTATTATTAAGAAACACGTTAGAGCTGAGTAATTAAAGTTTTATTGATGCTCCAATTTTCATTATATTTTTTATCATTAAATATTAGAAAAAAAAAAGGAAAAATCAAAAACTAATACCTTTTTTAAGCTCCAATTCTTTTTTTGCTAAATACAGATCAACTATTTTAATACACTGAGTAAAAAAAACTTTTTCATACAAGCTTAAAACAGATTTTATATCTTAAAATATACCTATTTCAATCTCTTCTTCTTCTAAATCAGGGTTGTCAAACCTTTTTACAGCCTGGGCCATTATTTTATTTTGATGACAACACGAGGGCCACAAATTAAGAAAAATCATTTTGTTTAAACTTCTAATTTAAAACAACTAATTCAATTTCAATATTGTCGAAAAAAATGTATTTAATGGGAAACTTGGCATTGTTTATTTTTACACAATTGATCAATGTCAGCTTTTATAGTGGACGATGAAATCCGAAGTGTATCAGTGAGGTGTTCATCTTTCAACCTATGTCTCTGCTCTGATTTAACATGTTTCATTCTTGAAAAAAATTGTTCACAAATGTATATGCTTCCAAAAAGGGAAAAGTATTTCATAGCGTGTTTGCATAAATGTGGATAAACTTCAATGTTCATGTATTTTTTATAAAGTTCTAACAATTCAACATCTTTGTAAGCATCTTTCAAATCTTTATTGTTTTGTAGTTCTATTAATTCCATTTGAAATTCATCTCTTACTGTCTCAACTTTAATGGAAAATGGATGTGAAAATAAGTCTAACTCATTCTTTTCTTCTTTAAAATCACAAAATCTTGTGTCAAATTCATCAATTATTTTTAAAATAAGATTACTATATTTTTCATAGTCAACTGTGTTGGTATTTCTTTCTGACAATGTTTTAAAATGGATAAGTGATTTTTGATTTAATTGTTGTTTGAGAAGTTTCAATTTCAAAACAAATGTTTCTACATTTTCATATAATTTACTAATAAGTTGATCTTTACCCTGCAACTTGATATTTAATTCCATTAACATCTGTGTAATGTCAACTAAAAATGCCAAATCATTCAGCCAGTCATTATTTTCATAAAAGCTTGTGTCTTTATCTTTAATTTTTAGAAACTTTATTATTTCAGGTATTAATATCCAAAATCTTTTCAAAGTTGCAGCTCGACTAAGCCATCTAACTTGGCAGAAATAAATTACATCTTCTGCCTCACTTCCACAATCCTCAAGCAATTGTTTGAACTGTCTGTGATTAAGGCCACGACTTCTTATAAAATTAACAGTTTGGATAACAATTTCCATGACTTCTTTCATTTCTAATACTTTTGCACATAACTGTTCCTGATGTGTAATACAGTGATATGAAAGAATGTTGTGATTAATGGATTTCTTAAATAATGCCACAAATCCAATATTTTTTCCTTTCATTGAACTTGCTCCATCTGTAGTGACACCAGAGAGTTTTGTTTCTGGCAAATCAAACTTTATCATTGTTTTTTTGACTTCAGAAAGAATATCTTCCCCTTTAGTAGTGCCTTTCATGTGCCTGAAATCCAACAGTTCTTCAATTATTTCAAAATTACTTGTTATAAATCTAATAAAAATAGCTAACTGAGCCGTATCACTTCTATCTGTTGATTCATCAAGTGCCAGACTATATGCTTCACACTTACATAGTTTTTCTTTCAATGCTAATTCAATATTCTTTGATAGATCTTCAACCCTTCTTGCAATTGTCTGGTGTGAAAGACTGAGATCTTCAGCAAATTGTATTTTTTCAGGGCATACCTCATTACAAAATTGTTTTATAGAGTTTTTTATTAAATCTCCACTAGAAAAAGGTTGACCACTTTTTGCAATACTTTCTGCAATTAAAAAACTTATTTTGGTAGCACTGTATGAGCTAATTACTTTACTTTTCATTATTGATTGTTGCCCGATAAAAATTTTCTTTAGCAGTTCTACCTTATCAACACGAAATTGGCCCTTGAATTTATCATAAGTTGCTGCATGTTTTGTAGTATAGTGTCTATTAACATTATACATTTTGCACACGGCAATTTTTTCAAAACAAATGAGACACATAATTGAATTATTTTGCTCCATTACAAAATATTCATTTGTCCAAGATGGGTTAAATATACGACCTCCTCTTCCACTTTCAGTTTCAGCTCTACGTCTTTTATTAGCACTAGCAGAAGCCATATTTAAAAAAAAATCAATATAACTATGGTTCCGCTAACCAAATAGTCAATACCGTTTTAACCGGTTTTATAAAAAAAATAAGGCGGTAGTTTTAACCGTGTTGCAATTTTAAAAAAAATCTGATTTTTAAAATTATATTAAAAAACTGCCCTAATTCTGAGCTACAGAAAAAATAGTTTTAAAAATATAATATTCACTTGATTTTGTTAAAAGTTTTGAATGGTTTTTGATAAGTTAAGAATTGAAAACGCGGGCTATGGCAAAAGACAACGAGGGCCACTTTGTGGCCCGCGGGCCACGCGTTGGACAACCCTGTTCTAAATATAAAAACTATAATTTAAAATTGTTGATTTCAAATGAAGCAATTTATGAGTACAAAAATAAGATTGAAAAGTAAAGAAAAGATGAAGAAAATCAGCGATAACTTATTTACAATAATCAATAATTCATACTGAAAATAAAACATCCTTTAACTGTATTATTTTATCATGTTTTATTATTTACCATTAAAAACTTTATAAAATAACAAAATGGCATATAAAAAACACAATGGTAAGATTGCTTTTAACATAAACATAACATCTAATGTAAAAGGTGTAAAAAAAAAAAAAAAATTACAATATTTGTACTCAGCAGATTGAATTAAGAAAACTGACATAAGTGCACAAAAAGAAATTGTCATCACTGGCATTAGGGCAAGTTTTCATAAATGGAAACTCAAAAAGTTTACAAAAAAGTAAAGTACATAAGATAACGAGTAAAAAATTTGGTAGTAAAAGAATGGAGAAAAAAAGTACATACAATTGTATGTACTTTTTTTCTCCATTCTCAATTGTGGTTTAATTAGTTTACTTAATTTAATTAGTATACTTAATTAAACATAAAAAAGTTTTAAATATATTTTTGCTAGCCACACCATATGCGGTACTTTAATTGCAAGTCACCACTTGTTGTATCTGTTTTGCATCAACAAAATTACCTAGTATTGAAAATAAAAATTATATTTTACTACTTTATAACACACACTAGTGGCCTACATGTCAAATCAATGAATGGGTTCCGCCCCCCCCCCTCCTCTTTCCCTTGTAATCCAAAAAAACATAAAAAAGCTTCAAAACAAAAGGAAAAAAAATGCTTTTTAAAACAACAAAAACAATTTTTAAAAATATCTCACCACATTAGATGCAAAAAATCTGTTTTTTCAATACCTTTTTGCAAGTCACACCACATGCAATACTTCTTTTTCTATTAGACAGTAACATTAAAGCACAATAATATTGAGTAATAATAGTATATGCCCATTTCTACAATCAATGCTCATTTTGGTAGCCAATGTAAAGTCAGCGATAATATATTTTTTTAAATTGCCAATAAGCATCATTTTTGTCTTTGGAGGCATGATACCAGGGACTACTAAAACAACGGGACGCGAAACTCTAATTTCATGTAGTTTTGACGACAGGGCCGATGAAAAAAAAAGCGAAACACTTCTATTATTAAACAAAAATATAATTATGAATAGAAATTTAATAAAAAAATGTTATGGCTCAATTATTTATCACTATTTTCAAACAACAATTAAATTCTGTTGATTAAGTGTTAAAAATAAAACAACTTTTTACAAAGAAACTGTAAATTAGCTGTAAATAATTATTTTTAAAGACAATGTTAATAAACTAATTAATCACTACTTATCATACTATATTATATTCATATCATTATAATAAATATATAATTATAAACAAATTTTAAACCATATAAATATAAAGCCATAAATACATTTCAAAACGTTATTAATTATATCACCAACGTCAACTAAATAATCAGACCACTAAGTATTGAGTTTCTTTCTTTTTCTGTCCTCAATGTTTAATGAAACAATATCAGATGTATTATCAAGGGTCGTAACACCTTTTAAGAAACAGTTAGTTATTATTGAGATAACTTTTGAAATACCTATACTGTCTGTTTCTAAATCAAATGGTAATGTTGAATGCAAGAATAAAAATAATTTCTTTAAATAAACAACACATTGAAAACGTTTTTCAGACATTGGAACGCTGTTAAACAGTAGATAACAAACACAAATAAACTGGAGAAGAGTATCACCAGGATAACGCAATTTAGCACGTGAAACATAATCTGTAAATTCAGAACTAGCTGATTGTGATGTTGTTGTATCAACGATACGCTGCGGATCGATCTTGTGCTGTACATAACCAGCCATATAAAAAAGGGCAGCATCCTCCTGATCATTAATAGATTCATTGTCTGCATTAATTAAACATTCATCTAAATAAATAATATCCTCTTCCAATAGATCCATTGTGCAACAGTCTGAATGTATGCGTGAGCAATGAATGTCAGTTTCATCCAAAGAAACTATTTTGCTGAATAATTTTTAACCGCTGAAGGTGCAAACTGTTCAATACTTGTTCTGCTGAGATAAAATAATTTCCGCCACTTAGTTGTCTACAAATAAGCAAAAAAATTGCAAAAAGATATAACCAAATAAATTGAGTTGAACCGAGTATTAAATTATAGTTAAAACAGCAATTCTCAAATAAAAACGCATCAATAAACTTATGTATGTTAAAAAATAATACATTTAAATAAATGAGAGAAATATTTGTTTTTTAGATTTCAAATCTACAAAATTTTCTTTACTATAAGTAACACAAAAATAATTTTACCTGTAGATGCCAAATTCACCTTCAAGACGATCTGTTTGAAAAATACCGGGAAGAACATATTGGTGATCTTCTGAAAGCAGTTTTTTTATTAATTCTACCAATCCTTGTAGGGTGTTAACTAAAGCATGTTTTGTTTCTGGTGTAAAAGTATTATGACGCTTTAATTCCTTTCCCTCTGACATCTTAGAAGTTGCATCAGCAAATGCTAAAATTTCTTTAAATCTAAGGTCATCGATTGTCTGGAAAGGAGACCTAATGATATCATTAAGTAAAACATCACAACCTTTCCTCTTTACATTTAGCATGTTCCATAATGAAACAATTGGTGCTAAAAAACAGGCAGTGTTCTCAAAATTAGCTAATCTCAATGCTGCAACAGTTTTTTCATTAAATACAGCAACCATGTTTGCGACATTTTGTCTATCAATCAAACTAGGGTACACTGACTTGCGTGAAAGCTTTGTAGTTTTGGCAACACAAGTTTTCTGTCTGTTATATAATTGAACAATGTGAGACCAATCACCAGAGAGAGGTTGATTATTAATTTTTAAACTAATTGTTTGTGTTTTTTCCGTAAACCAATTATTTCTTATACTTTTAAACAAATGAACTGGATCGTGTAGCATAATAACTAGTTTTTCTTTTTCTATAACACCTTGCCATGGAAAACTTTTATTAACAACGAAATTTTGGTAAACACTTCGATTTGTGGGACGGTTATCTGATAAAAGACACAGTAATTCTCCTCCTGCATCAATTATTTGTTTATTTATGTTTATAATCAAATCGTGAAGAAAGTGCACTGACAGTTTAAATATTGGTACAATTCTACAAACAAAAGAAGGTTTACCAAACATAGGTTTAATCATAAAGACTAATAACGTTTTTGCAATTTTAGTGGGATTGTCCTCACTATATCCAATGAGGTGTCCTCCTCTGAAACTAACACTTGGTTTAATATACATCTCATTAAAGAGAAGGCAACAACGCTTTTCAGAACTATTAAAATTTTCAAAAACAACTTTGATTGTATTATTGCACTCTTTTTCATTTCCAACTTCTCCAACTCTTCCTCATTTTGAAATGGACTTTGGACTGCGCAAACAAAGCAGATTTCTTAAATGTCGATAACAACATCTGGAGGACAAATACAGTTCAAGTGCACGACGTATACATAAAGTAGAAAAGCGCAGTCCATTTGGAGAATAAGTGGTGAGGCGTAGTTGTTCAATGAGGAAAGAAATTTCTTCAGAAGTATCACTGTATGTATTTTCAATTTGACTAATCAAACTTAATACCTCATCTTTTATTTCAGAACTAGAGGTACCAACTCTTTTGACAATAGCTTCAAGCTGTGACCACCGAGTAAGACAATGAGAAAAACTGAGCAGGTCATAGCAGTTAACTTTTGTATGCCTACAATAAATATTAACTTGACGCGAATGACAGTTAATTTCAACAGAAAATATTGTTTCAGGTAGACATGATCGAGAAACATCAAACAATATGACTTTTGAATTTTCAATGAACGCAAAGTATTGAGGATATCTAAAATAGATTTAATAACAAGCAAACTTTAAATCAAAACAAACAAATATCGTAAAACGAGGAGAAAAATTAATTTTACCTTTCTTTTATTTCAGACAACATTATTTCAACATCATAAAATCTAATTAAATCAATTTGATTGAAATCATCCAATTCATCAGGTATTGCATTTCGTGATGTTAAAGAAATTTTATTTATATTTGTAGATCTTGGTTGTGTTAAGACTGTTTGGCGCACTATTGAAGATGTGCATCCAGTAAATAGATGGGGGATCAACAGGAACCTAAAAAAGATATTATTAAAATTAGTCATTGTAAAACTTATCAATAAAAACAACTTTAAGGATGCTTACCTCAAACTTTGATCCAGGAGGCTTGTGCATTTTGCAGCCTGGTGGCCAGTGTTTTTCACACACACCCATATTTGAAGTTACTTTTTCAAACGCATTTGGAATAGATGACAACCAATATTGTAACTTTTGTGGGTCACTTGGAAACATATAAACATGAAGCTTTTCTTCTGAAGTTGATGTTAAATAATTTGTGGTACAATTAACTATTGAACATTTTCTTGGCATGATTATAACTAATAATAGTAACACCATTATTATTTATTATAAATATGACATAACATTTTGTAACACTTAATAGATTCATTACTTAAAATAAATTACTCAAATCAAAAATTACTTAATACAATTTTTTAATCTTACTACTTTCAAAAAATAAAAAACTTTTGATTTTTCAATAAAAATAGCAACTTTTTTCAAAAAAAAAAAGGCTATTTTTTTAAAAATGTTGTAAATATCTCCCAATATTTCTATTGTAATAACCTATATTTTATCAGTACGATACTGATGAAAAATATATACATTATATTAGTAATATGAATTTGTATCACTTTAATGTATTCTAAAATGTGTTATATAATTAGATTAATGTAAATTTTTCATAACTTCTTTGCTAAATCAAACTAACATCGCCATTTACAATCGGCCCTGTCGTCGTTTTAGCATCGATTTGAAGTTTCGCGTCCCGTTATTTTAGTAGTCCCTGCATGATGCCTTTAAAAATTATAAAGTTATGTAATTGCATAACTAATGAGCAATAGGATAACTACATAAATATAAAAAAATATAAAAATGAGGTAAGTGAAAGTACAATAAAAGTTTTAAATACTGAATACTTTTGGTATATGCACAACAATTGGGTTTAAAATTTGAACTCTAAACACTTTCTATATAGCACACAATTATGTTAACTTCTTTTTTGGTTAGATAAAGATAAAGTTCTACATAATAGCACATAAAGGCACTTAGATTTTGACCTTTTTATTTATATTTTTTAAATTATCATAACACCTTTTAACTCCAAGTTAAACATTTAAAGTAATGTAATCACAAGTTAAAATTGTGATTATATCACAGGCATGATTACATCATATATGTCATAAGTTAAAACATCCTAAACTCTTAAGAATGAGTTACTTACTTAGTCTTCAAATCAACTACCTTAAAATCTTTTTTTAAAAATATAAAATGACATATAATTCCTGATATAATACACTGACTAATTTTATAAAGTGCTTTATTATCTAAAAGATTGTTTTTTTATAATTAAGTAATTTTTTATAATTAAGTTTAATATAAATAAGTAATAAGAATAATTTTTTTATATTATAAAAAAAATTGTTTGTAAATATATATTAATTAAACCTTTAGGCTCTACTCTTTCATCAACAACGAATGGATAACTCATTATAATTTAAGTAAATTAAATCTAAATCATATTAAATTGAACAGTTATCAATATTTTATCAGATTATATTGCTAAATGTTGTTAATGAAATCCCCCTCATCCGCCCGGCGTTAAACTGTTAAAAAAAAATTAGGTACCAAAAGTATTAGTTAAAATAAGGAATGTGCTAATCAAAATAAAGCAATGAAATTTGGCAGGTGCATAAAAAGTATGTAAACTTAAAAATGAGAATAGGTAGGAAAATTTACTGAGCATTCTTTCAAGGTTTACTAAACGTCTAAAGTATTACCAAGTTTTGGATGTAAATAAATTACCTTAAAAAGTTTGTCATTGTAATCAAAAGACACATAGAAATAAAGTTTAATCACTCTAGATTTTAAAAAATAACTATGTTATTATGAAATTCTAAAAAATAAGGCTACAAAACACCATTCTATCATGCATGTCAACACCAAAGTCGAAAAAACGGAGAACAGTTTTTTGGTATAAAACTCGGTACCGTGAAACGCGTATTTCTACGAACCTACTAGAACTTATAGTCTACGTATGTAGAGCTTTCTAATATTCCATGTTTCTGAGGTTTAATTATTTTTTAATTTAACAATTTTGGCTATTTCTCATATTTAGTTTGCGTACAGCAATTAACAACTTAAAGCTTATACATTAACTTTAGCTATAACTTAATTATTAATGATTTGATTTATAGATTTTTAAAACAATACAAGATTGAATTTAGCATAAGGCTAAATTTCTGCTCTGGAGACAAAAAAGGAAGACAGCGAAAATGACCAGTCAAAATAAAGATTAAAGAGACAAAAAATTGTGCAGATGATTTATCTTCATTTTGTTATAATAAAACAAAAAATGTTATTAAACTTTGGGATTTACCTGTAACTCCAAACTCTTTACAGAAGGTCAATGTTTGCTCTGAGAAGTTGAATGAACAAATTTATTAAATGGAAAGTTTTTTATAAAAGTCTTTATGTCTGATGATTGAAAATCTTTATTCATAGCTTTAGCTTTTACAACTTTAAAAACTTTTTCATATATTACGGTCAAAAAGTCATAGTGTTAATTAACATTTTATTGTGTAATAATCAACATATCAAAGCTTGGTCGGGAAGCGAGAGCGATCCCTCTCTAATACTGACCACGGAAAAACTGGCCAGGTTTTCTAGTTGATTTAACGTAACAAAAAAATTTTGTTGGATTTCAAAGTTAGTGTCACCAACTTTGAAATCTATTTGAATTCAACTGTTAAAAAAAAAAACAGAGTATTCATATCAATTTAAAGTTTTAACAGTTGCTGGTGGTTCATTATTATTCATTATATAAACGTTTATTTAAATTTATATAATAGACGAAGGTAATACAATATTTTAATAGATGATGTTATTTTTAAAAACTGTATTATTAAAATTCAGAATTGAAATATGTAAAAAAAATTATTCACAAACATTGGACAACTTTATATTTCAAATAACCACACTTTTTATGAAAGTGAGGTTGTTTAAAAATAATATTTTTTTTTAGAAAAAGATAAAATTATAAGATAAAATAAAGATTTTTTTGGATAAAAGAAACAATTTTTAGATAAAATAAAAATAAAGTTTTTTACAGGAGAAATGTTTTTCATTCTCTTGTAAAATTTTAATTTTGTGACTTGTCACATTTTCAAAATACAGCGCTCAATTAAGCTTTTATGTTTTTTTTGGTGTTACCCATTTAAATTTTCTGAAACTTATGTTTTTCTTAGTGTTCGTTCTTAGTCATCCTTAATAATAAGATCCATACTAACATGTATAATAAGCTCCATACTAATATCCAACTTAACTAATAGCTAAGTTTTAAAAGTTTTGTCATTGAAAGCATGTACAATCTAAGCATTTCCATTACAGTAGATAGTTATTTTAAACATTTTGTAAAAATGATTGTTAAAAATGGTCAGGGAAATTCATCTGATTTTTCAAAAAAGTCATTGATTTTTATATAAATTATTGGCTACGAACCCTGTTGGAGAAACATTGTTTTAATATGAATTTTTTTGTTGTACAGTGCAATCTGTATTTTATAAGAAACACAAAACAATTCTTGTTAATGTGTAAACTTAAACATTAACGAAAATTGTTTTGTGTCAGTGCCAGAAATTAAATGCACACCTGCAAATTTCATAATTCATAAAAATATTATGAATCCATTAGCAAGTATATATTTTTATTATTAAAAATTTGACTCTCTTTCTTTAGTTTTATCTGTTTTATTAGTGATTGTTGTATTTACTTTCATAATATATAATTAGTTGTATAGTTTCTTAATAATATAATTAACTTTAATGTTCAAGATAAAGTTGTATCCTTGAAAGATATGCTGGTATTATTGGCACAATGGGCAAGCATTGAAGTGCAACTTGGTGAAATACAAAACACATCAAATTCAGTTATAAAAATTTGAGTAACAAAGGTAATATTTTTTTTATTATCTGTTTAGGCATTTTGTATGATATCTTAGTACAACTTATATACTTTAAAAAAAGTACTCTTTGAAGATTTCTTGTTAATGACATTTTATATTAATTTAATTCTAAACAAAAGTTACTTTAATTATTGCCAGGTTGTGTATTTTTGCAGGTCAATTATTTGGCACAATTTGGACTTAAAGACAAAGGAGATTGTATATGTTATTTACTAAGAATTGTTTTTTAAAATGGCATAGCTGTAAAATTAAACTATACAGGGAGAGGACAAAAAATTGGAATAAGAAAAATGTTGATTGCATATGTTGCTATTGGTAAGTGGTTTAGAAAAGTTTATTTTTTCAGTCTCAATTTTGCATTACAGAAATAATTTCAATTTGTTATGTTTCTTTGGTGCATAATTAAACAAACAACTATTTTTTTGTAGAAACTGTGAAGTCAAATAAACATGGCTTATGCAGACATGTGATAGAGATAGTGGAAGAAAAAAAAATAATAATAGTGGGCACCAAATATCATAAGCTAAACACAATTCAATAACAAGTAGCTCAGCCAATATCGAAACTACTCTATAAATTTTATAGTGAATTTTTTTATTTGAAACTCAATGTGTCAGTTTTTGGTTTAAGTTTGGTGTTTGCAATGTGTATATTTAACCGAGAAATTATGTTAAATAAATAAATTTTTATACTTGTATCATACATTCTTTTTTTTCTCTATAAATTTTTAATGTAGCAATGCAAATCATCTTATTTTTAACAACGATCTAATTTTGCATAAAACGTTATGCCGATATTTGATAATAGGCCAATGTTGTATACAACGTTAGGCCAATTTTGTATACAACGTTGGGCCAATGTTGTATACAACGTTGGGCCAATGTTGTATACAACGTTGGGCCAATGTTGTATACAACATTGGCCTAACGTTATATACAACGTTGGGCCAATGTTAGGTAAACGTTGTAAACAACATTGGGCCAATGTTGTACACAACGTTGGGCCAATACCTAACCAATGATCAAACCTGCATTGGGCCAACATCGATTTTCAACGTTGGGCCAATGCATCATCATGCATTGGCCCAACGTTGGTCCAATGTAAGCTTGCTGTCTGGGAATGGCAGATGAATAGACATACTCTCATCAAAGTTTACATATATATGCTTTTAATTTTGGTTGGGGAAGACTGCATGTATTTATTTTCTCATATTTCTTTAATAAAAAAAGTTAAAACTGTTTCCCAGACAGCAAGCTTACATTGGCCCAATGTAAGTTTTAACATTGGCAAGTTTATTCCGTTGGGCCAACATTTAGCCAATGTTTTTTTTCGGCGTATTTTGTTCAATTCATATCGTACTATATTGGGCCAACATTTAGCCAATGTTTTTTTTTCGGCGTAATATTGCAATTCTACAAATCGGTTTTTTGCAATTATCGTACTACGTTGGGCCAATATTTGGCCAATGTAGTTTAGGCTTAGTATTTTGCCGTTTTTACATTTTACCGTAGCCAATATTCGGCCAATGTAGTCGGATTAGTATATACTTTGAAATATTTTTTAAAAATGGTATCGTTTGACAGAATAAAAAGAGGTTTTGATACTATTATATATTTTTCCATTTAATTACATTATAAAAATAAAAAAAAGAAGCTATATTTATTAATCTTCTAAGAATCTTAAAAGGTTTCTTATAAGAAGTAAACTTCAAGAGATTCTCGACTTAATGTTTTGTTTTTTTAAAGACTTAATGTTTTGACTTTTAATAAAAGTCAAAACATTAAGTCTTTAAAAAAATTTGGTTATTGCCTTTATTATTACATTAATAATTTAGATTGTAGTAAAAAATGTTTTAAGCATATTATTTAAATGTTAACAAATATTTCATTTAAAAAAACAAAACATTAAGTCTTAATGTTTTGTTTTTTTAAATGAAATATTTGTTAACATTTAAATAATATGCTTAAAACATTTTTTACTACAATCTAAATTATTAATGTAATAATAAAGGCAATAATCAAATTATTTTTTTGTAAGATCTTAAAGTAATTTTTTTATTTTTATTGCTGTAATGGCATTTCAAATGTTTGTTATATTTAATAATCTTTATTAAATTTAATTTATTAAATTTTATTATTATTTTATAAAATTTATTATTATTATTTATAAATAAATGAAACATTTCAAATGTTCAATTTATTAAATAAAGGAGACATTTTAAATGTCATCTTTATTAAATAAATCAAACATTTAAAATGTCATATAGTATAATTTTTTTTTTCATTATTTATAATAGTTTAGATTATATAGCTAATATAAAATACATTATTAAAGCTATCAATAATATATATGTGGCATTGAAGTTGTTAGAAGCTGATATTTTACATTTTAAATATGTCTCTTTTGTTTGATTTTTTCTGTGTTTGATTATGAAACCCCATCTACTAACATATTAAAACAGTGTACAAAATGTGATGTTACTAGAACTTATATTCTACTTATGTAGAGCTTTCTAATATTCCATCTTTCTGAGGCAGAGGGACATTATTCTTGGTTTAATTATTTTTTAATTTAATATCTCTGGATATTTTTCATATTTAGTTTGTGTACAACAGTTAACAACTTTAAGCTTATACATTAACTTTAATTATAACTTAATTATTAATGATTTGATTTATAGATTTTTAAAGCAATACAAGATTTAGTTTAGCATAAGGCTAAATTTCTGCTCTGGAGACAAAAAAGGAAGACAGCAAAAATGACCAGTCAAAATAAAGATTGAAGAGACAAAAAATTTTGTATATCTTGGTGTAGATGATTTATGCTCATTTTCTTATAATAAAACAAAAAATATTATTAAACTTTGGGATTTACCTGTAATTCCAAAATCTTTACAGAAGTTTAATGTTTGCTCTGAGAAGTTGAATGAACAAAATTATTAAATGGTAAGTGTCAAATGATTGAAAATCTTTATTCATAGCTTTAACTTTTACAATTTTAAAAACTTTTTCATATATTACGGTCAAAAAGTCAGAGTGTTAATTAACGTTTTAGTATGTAATAATCAAAATATCAAAGCTTACACCACAGGCTTGGTCAGGAAGCGGGAGCGATCGCTCTTGAATACTGACCACAGAAAATATATTTAGTTGCGAAAAACTGGCCAGGTTTTTTAGTTGTTTTGAGAACATTTAAGTTTATGAACATAACAAAAAATTTTTGTTGGATTTCAAAGTTGGTGTCACCAACTTTGAAAACCATTTGAAATCAAATGTTGAAAATAACAACAGTATTTGTATTTATATCAGTATTCTTATCAGTTTAAAGTTTTAACAGTTGCTGGTGATTCATTATTATTCATTATATAAACGTTTATTTAAATTTATCTAATAGACGAAGGTAATACAATCGTTTTATAGATGATATTATTTTTAAAAGTAGTGTTATTAAAATTCAGAACTAAAATATGTAAAAAAAATTATTTACAAACATTGGATAAGGTCCGTACTGTACCTTGAAAATCTGGAAAATCTGTTAATATTGGCTAAAGTCGTGGAAAACCTGGAAAAGTCAGGAAATTATTTCTTTCTTTAGTCATGGAAAAATCAGTAATTCTAGTTAAGAAGTTACTCGTTTCACAAATGAACGCTGTATTTTGAAAACGTGATGAGTCACACTTTTTTTAAAAGTGAGGTTATTTGAAAAGAATATTTTCAAAAAAATATTCTTTTCAAATAACCTCATTTAAAATTAAAGAATATTAAGATAAAATAAAGATTTTTTAGATAAAATAAAGATTATTTTAGATAAAATAAAGATTATTTTAGATAAAGTAAAGATTTATTTAGAGAAAAGAAACAATCTTTAGATAAAATAAAAATAAAATTTTTCACAGGAGAAATATTTTTCACTCCCTTGTAAAATTTTAATTTTGTGACTTGTCACATTTTCAAAATAGATCGCTCAATTAAGCTATAATGTTTATTTTGGTGCTATCCATTTATTTTTTCTGAAATTTATGTTTTTCTCAGTGTTTATTCTTAGTCGTCATTGAAGTACAACTTGGTAAACTACAAAACACATCAAATTCAGTTATAAAAAAGAGTGTCATTGCTATTAAAAGCAGTGAAGAATTCAAGTACTCTGGAAGAAAAGAAAATACGTAAGTAAATGGTAAATATTTTTTTATAATTTTTTAATGCATTTTGTATGATATCTTAGTACAATTTATATATTTTAAATAAAATACTCTTTGAAGATATTTTGTAAATTACATTTTATGTTAATTTAAGTCTAAACAAAAGTTACTTTAATTATTGTCAGGTTGTGTACTTTTGCAGGTCAATTATTTGGCACAAATCGGAGTTAAAGACTAGTTGTAAAATCAAACTATGCAGAGAGAGGACAAAAAATTGGAATAGAAAAAATGTTGATTGCATACGCTGCTATTGGTAAGTGGATTAGAAAAGTTTATTTTTTCAGTTTCAATTTTGCATTACAGAATTCCTTTCAATTTGTTATGTTTCTTTGGTGCATAATTAAACAAACAACTATTTTTTTTTTGCAGAAACTGTGAAGTCAAATAAGCACGGCTTATGCAGACATGTGATAGCTATAGAGGAAGAAAAAATAATAATCTTGGGCACCAAATATCATAAGCTAAACATTATTCAATAACAAGTAGCTCAGCCAATATCGAAACTACTCTATAAATTTTATAGTGAATTTTTTTATTTAAAACTCATTGTGTCAGTTTTTGGTTTAAGTTTGGTGTTTGCAATATGTATATTTAACCGAGAAATTATGTTAAATAAATAAATTTTTATACTTGTATCATACCTTCTTTTTTTTCTCTATAAATTTTCAATGTAGCGATGCAAATCATCTTATTTGTAACAACGATCTAATGTTGCATAAAACGTTAGGCCGAAATATAACATACGATATTGGGCCAATGTTGTATACAACGTTGGGCCAATGTTGTATGCAACGTTAGGCCAATGTTGTATACAACATTGGCCTAACGTTATATACAACGTTGGGCCAATGTTGGGTAAACGTTGTATACAACATTGGGCCAATGTTGTACACAACATTGGGCCAATACCTAACCAATGATCAAACCTGCATTGGGCCAACATCGACTTTCAACGTTGGGCCAATGCATCATCATGCATTGGCCCAACGTTGGTCCAATGTAAGCTTGCTGTCTGGGTTGGCTCACATCCCAGACTGCACTTACAAAATTATATTTTACACTTATGGAGCAATTTACAGTTATGAAATTCATTCTTAGACAGTTGTTGTATTTTAAATTTAATATAATTTATTATCCCTTACGCAGTTCTTCCAGTGTCTCTTGGTCTAAATATAAACAAATGTTTAGACGCCACAAATGGAAGCCAAGCCATGCTTACAAACTAAAGAAAAGAAAAAAAAAAAATGCACTAGTGTGATTTGTATCATTATCAACACCATAATACTTGCTAGCATTTATGTATATTGAGCATTCATTGATTTAATATAGATATTTAATCTTATTTTAGCTATATCTCATAAATCTAGAAAAGATGTATAAGATAACCTTAAAGACTTATACCATACTCACTAATGGCTATTTATTATGCCTTTACAACCAAGGTATGAGCAAATTATGTCAACATTGCATGACATGTAAAATATATAAAAAATACATGTCAAAATTCCATGACACAAATAAAACAATTAGGGTAATCTGAACTAATACGATCCAAATGTCCATGCCAATAATTTATTAAGGCATAAACACTATCAAATGAAGCATAAACATTCTAAGCAAGTAACATGGTGTATTTAAATAAAGTTTTATAAAACAAAATTTTGTAACAATCATAAACATTTAATCAAGAAAATATCAACTCTCCTGTAATGACATCTACAGCAAGCTGGAACTTTTTCATAGGATAATCAACAGCGTTAATTTCAGTTTCATCATTTTTCCAGTAGGAAATACTATGAATTATATCTTTTTGTCTTTTACTTGATTTTTAACTCTGTCATTATACATCACACATTTGGATCTGTCAGCATGGCACCATTGATGGCAGAGCTTCCTACAAATAATTATGTCAAACATAACATCTTCCAAATCATTAAATTACGTGGTTGACAAGTGCCTAAATGCGTTCTTCATTTCAATAAAAGTTAGTTTGGACTGGTCTACCTGTCTCTTTCTAACTGTCTTTTTCCCTTTTCATCCATTTTTTGGCGTTTTGAAATTTCTCTCCTAGAAATCTGAACTCTGATTACAAAATGTTGCAGTTGACTACTCTTTCTTTTATTTTGTGCAACATGAATGGACCACTTAACAACTTTTTCTCTAGATAGTTGGCCTAGACTGCCTAAATAATCTACAGTTTTATTCTTTTTACATCTTAACTTGCAAGATATGTAGCAATTAGTGGCATTAGGACATCTTCCTTTGGCATCACTAAACATACCAACTATCTCTTCACTATTAATATTGTTAAGCCTTGCACTTGCAGTCTCCTCCTTTATTGTCTCTGTAATAGAAAGTGAGAAATACCTTTTATATTGTCGCTTTAAGACAACTTGCACAGCATCAAGACAAGCAGAAGTCATTTTTTTAAGCTGGTTTTCAATGAAGCTTATATGTGCGTTAGTGGTTAGTAATGGAGCATATATTGATTTTAAAATGTAAGGGGCAAGAGTATTCCCAAAAAAATCTGTTCTTCTACAAAACAGAGTTGCTGGATTAGATTTACAATTTGCAATTGTTAGCAAAACTTTTTTCACTACCTGAATACCAGTAACATGATCAAAAGTTGCATCCTCAGCTGAAACATAAAACTTATTCATCCAAGGCCGAGTAAAGAGTTTTCCAAACAATGCAAGCACACACATTTCTTTTATGGCAGTGTTATTACAAAATGCCCCTCTCAGAATTGCCTGCAAACTTTTACATTTTACTGTTCCAATAGTGAGGAAATATTTAAACTCACTGTAATACTTTATAAAAATGAAACAAGTATGAAAAAGAATATGAAGTCTATTTCCACGATATCTGGGAATAATACTTCATGGTAGTTGAATTATTTTTTATCAAATTACGACATTCATTAAAGCTACTTTTGTAAAAACCTGGGTAAACAAATGCCATATAATCAATTGAAGTACATATGTGACTTTCATAATCAAATGCTGTTCCTCCTGGTAACTGATCTAGAGCAATAACAAGACTTTTATCTTTAGATGTTAAGTTAATACTATTAATGTGGACACCTTCTTATGTTGTAGCATCAAACCCATAAGTAAGATTATTATTATGCATAGCACACTCTGCTGCTTACAAATCTGAAATACTGCCAAGTTCACAAGCCATTTGCTCAACAGTACTTCAATGATGAATATTATTAAAAACAACACCCATATAATGCTTTATTTTGCTTATAAGATATAGAAAGTTACCTGTTGGTATATTACACCACAACATATTATAAATTATCATTCTTATTTGTAATGAACATGTTTTATCATCTTCTGGCATAATTACATTTCTTTCCTCCTTAATCTGGAGCAAATCATTCTCCAAACTAGCAATTACCCTGTTTCTTGTCAAAACAGCGGCATTATGCTTAGTTTTGAGTTGCCTTAACTTATGTTTTTCATATAATTTTAAAGCTTTTTTTTCAGCTTAAAAGTGACGAATCTGCTCACCGTTTTTTTTTTTTTTTTTTGTGTGAGTTTTTTAAGATTTTGTAATTCGTATTTCTGCCCTTAAAACTTTAATTATTTTTTCTTTTCTTTTAACATTTTGTCTTAGAACACGTAATTGTTTTGGCATGCTTTTTAATTCAGCTTTTAATAGTACTATCTTGCTCCAATGTTCTTTGTAAGAGTTAGCTAACCGAGAAGACAAGTAAGATAACTTACTTTTTATTTTTTGTTTTATAGGGCTTAATTTCTCTCTAAATATATGTTTAGTTATATCTTGTTCACTATAATCTGCAGATGTTGATGGTCCACTAGTTAAATGAGATAAAACATTAATATTGGCATATGAAACACCTGAGGAGCCTGATGATAATACAATGTTAAGCACACGTGATATATGGCTTAAAAAAGTTTTATTGCAAAAGTCAACAAAATGCTTACTATCCTCAGACCTGTTAAAATTTCTAGCTCAATTTAATGATTTATTTATGAGACTCCGAACCTGATTTTTACATGTCTCTATCTTAAAATGTTTAGTGACTTGTTGAGATTTTTTGAGAAACGAATCTTTATTTTTTTGTAAATAAGAAAAAAATATGTCTATTTTTACCAACTGTATTACACTCTGTAATAGAGTCAATTCCTATTAGTGACAATTCAAAATTAGGTGTAAAATACTTTTTGCATTTACCATAAAACACAAACTTCGTTTTTGGCCCCACGATAGCTAGAAAAAAAAAATTATTTGTTATAAATAAAAAATAATATATTTAAATCATGGTAAATAGAATGATATTACAATTGCCAACTACATTGGAACTATTTAGTACAATTAAATAATCTATATCCAACATCATTATTGTTATTACTAGTACATTCTACCCCTCCTCACTGGAAGTGTACTGCATTATTGAATATAAAACAGTTATCTTATTGGAGTATAGTATTAAGGTGCCCGAGCATGCTTTTTTTTTCAATGAAACTTAGCAGGTAGTAAGTAAAAAGGTTTCTAAGGGTTAGAAAATATATTTGAAAAATGAACCAGCATTCCTTCAATAAATACTTGATGTCTGAACAACAACAAAATTTTTTTGGGTATAGTATTAAGGTGCCTGAGTATGATTTTTTTTTCCATGAAATTTGGCAGGTAGAAAGAAAAAAGGTTTTTAAAGTTGAGAGAATATATTTGAAAAATAAACTAGAATTCCTTAGATTTATACTCGATGTCCAAAAAACAAGCAAATTTTTAACAACAATAATTTCATAATTAATAAAATTTTAACTCAAAGAAATTCATGCAAATTTTATGTTCCATAATTCTATTATTCAAAAAATATCATAACTCTATTATTCAAAAAAATGTTGATACATATTTCTTTTTTTAATGCGATAGAAAAAAATAATTTTCCTAAATATGAATAGTCCAGATGTGCTGAATAGTGCTGTTAGTTACTATTGTTCGATATTAGTTACGATTTTGTATTATGTAAAATATACTCTATACACTCGCTAATAGTTATATATATATATATATATATATATATATATATATATATATATATATATATATATATATATATATATATATATATATATATATATATTTATATATATATATATATATATATATATATATATATATATATATATATATATATATATATATATATATATATATATATATATATATATATATATATATATATATATATATATATATAATATATATATATATATATATATATATATATATATATATATATATATATATATACATATACTCATATAGTGTCGCTTTAAGAGCATTTTAATGTAAAAAAAGTCTCTTACGACTACAATTTTAATTACCTCGTCTCTTAAGCTGTTTTTGATTGTCGTCGAAATGTCAAAGCAATTAATTTATGCGGAAGTACATTAAATTTAATTGTTTTTTAAAAAATTTTTAAAAAACCGCAATTATAACGACTAGAAAGTTTTTTTTAATTAGTGGTGTTTTTGTTATTGATTTAATAAAAAACATTTT